TGGTGGTTGGTGGTTGTGGTGGGTGATGGTTATTGATTGTGTTTTACTCTATGTTACCAACACGTTACGACATGTTGGAATCCCCCTTCGGGTCGCATTCCGCTCCATCAAGGCGCCAGCAAGTCGTTCAACGCCTTCTCGGTGCGGGAGATTTCCTCGGGCCGGCCATGCGATATATAGCTGCAAACATGTCTGCCTTACAAAGCACTCCCACACACACATATGGAAGTGGAAAATCAATGAACATCACAACTGGCCAGCCCATGCCGGCCCGGTCGGAAAACAGCCCGGAGCCCGCAGGAGCCGCATCGCCTCCTCGTCACTTCCTCCGCGTCGCTTCTCCGTCGCCTCACCGAGTCGCCGGGGTCAACAGGGTGCCCTGCAGAACTTGCCAAGCACTGTCTGCGGCCTCCCATTTGGCGATGATGTCCTGATCCGGTCGTGAGCGAACGATGGCGGATGAACAGTCCAGGCCTAGACCGCCATCCCGAACCCAACTCACCAAGCTGGAGTGCGATTCTCCATGCACCATTTCGTATGTTGATGGTCCTTACCCCAAGAATCCGGGCCCTTCTCCAATGGAAAGGGTGTTTGGCCCAAACGGATGGTCTTTCAAGGCTAGAAAAGCGCCCGGGACCCACGACTCGGAAAAATCGCTTTGACCTCCGGGACCCAAACGAGTCATTGAGGTGCACCCCAGTTTTCATACACACCCAGTGGAAAAATCAAGAACGACCTATACACTTATATAAAACAAATTAGTCATGACATCCCTTGACTGATGCCTCAAAGACCTTCAAACCTTGGAGATACCACTATATGTTGTTTCAAGAAAAAACAGTAGAATTCATATATACATAATTCATATATATATATATTAATATATATAATATTATAGCATATAATATAGTACATAAATATTGTAATACATTAATTATACATAATTACAAATTCATAATACAAACACCCGCGCACCCTTTTCCCGTAGCCTGTCGCTCGACAAGGGTAAGGTCAGAAAGCCTCTTTTGTTGCTCCTCGCGGTGGCGCAGCGGAAAGAACGCCCATCCGAGTCCGAACGATCCGTCCGGACTTAACTGGATGTGACCGGACGACCTGACGTGACCGCACCGGGGTACGGAATGGTTTGTAGGTGTCTAACGAAGAGAACAAAGTAACCTGGGCATGCAAAACTGTACAACCAACGAAGCCCTCCGGAAAACCAAGCACTCAGGAGCGACCAAGCAACCAGCAAAGCAAAAATACATTGTCCTTAGTCCTTGAAATGTGCAGAGTGCAGGAAGCCATGCCAGTCACATGACATGCACTAGCCCTAGATCCAGGTCTGTATCCCATGATCCAAAAATTGAAATATAATACAGAAGTTCACAAAATGCCACAGCTAGTAACATACCGAAACGCGCAATGGCAGGAAGCGACAAAAACTGGTCACGGTGTTTAATTTCTTTTGCTACAAAGGCGGTCAGCGAAACAAAAGGCGGTCAGCTGCAAACAATCAACAAAGATATTGTTTTGGTCAAGTATGGTCGAGTCAAGTTATTGGAGTTGACGTTTGATTCTGCTTGGAGTCTCAATGATTCCAAATTGGGCAGGAAGTTTGACACAGGTGATAATAATGCTCAAGAAACCGCCTCCATGTCACATCTTCACTGTCGTCACCTTTTGGTGTGAGATGTGCAGCACATACCACCCCTGTTGGGCGGCTTAGATAGACTTAAACAGCAAAATGCAAGGGCCCCAAGCAGGAGACATGTGAGGAGAAAGGTCAGAAACCAATCTGTCTGATTCTTCCAGACTAACACTCCTGGGGTCCCTTTGATCATACAAACACAAACACTCCGAATGTCTGATGTTCTTAGGGTTGGCTCCAACCTTGCTGAATTCTGGAGTATGCTCCCCAACGGTGAGTGCTGCTTTCTCTGCGAAGTCTGTAAGTCTGTGACGCGACCTGTTTTCGGCTGAAAGGACAGCAGCTATATATCACTTCTTGAAGTGCGACATTTATACTTACATTATTTTAATTGTATATATATATTATGTAAATATATCATCCGCGCACACATTCGCATGATACAAACGCAGCTCAAAGTCAGTGCCCTAGATCTTTGATGATCTTTGTCCCTTTCAAGCGTCCATGATCCAACCATCAAACCGTCCGCCGTCCTCAAAGCGATTCCATGAAGATCGGTCGTGCTCTGCCATGTCCAGCACTGCCAGCAAGGCATCCTGCCAGCACTGTGCGGCCTAGGGAGTGACTTAACCGGGCTCCCTTTGGAAGATCTTGTGCGGCAGCAAATGCAGCTAAAGTCCTGGATTTGGAGGCTAAGGGCCTACCTAAAGTTGAAGGTCCCGGCTGTTCCTATGTCAATGTATATGAACGATGGTCAAAAGTAAACTTGTTGTGGAGTTGCATCAGGACTTGGTGAGCTGTTCACGGCCTCAAACATGCGTGTTGAAATCACACCACCACTCGACCACTCGACTAGAATTGTCAAGTTCACCAATGTTGAGCCTAGCTTTTTGAGTTCTGTTTTTGTTTTCTATTTTATCTGTTATGTTTTAGTGCAAAAGGGTAGGGTCATGTGATATGACACAGGTCTTGTCCTACTCTAGAGGGTTCTGGTAGACAATTACTTAGAGTAGGAAACTTCGGGACGATTATATTAAACACAATCCAATCCAACCCAGCCCACCCCCTGGGTAGAATATCGATCCCAATCGGAGTTTTCCAATCAGTCCAACATGACATGCTGTTTGGATTGTTAGATTGGCTAGACTAGGCTAGATATGGAATGATTGTGTTATGTTATGGATTATATATAGGAGATGTTATTATTATATGAGATAATGATGGTTCATCCTCTCAACACTTGGATTTATCAAAATCCATTCCCATATATTCCCTACAGCAAAACATGATTCCCTTTTATGCCACTTCGCAACCTCCAAACCCCAAATCTACATGGTCCTCCTTGGTCTTTTCTTCCCCCCTGGGTTTGTGACATTCTGGTCCTTGAAGACTTGATATGCCACCGCGACTTGCGAGACCGCCAAGTCCACTCGCTCCTTTGGCCACCTACCAGGTGCCAGGACTTCGTCCATGGCGAAAATCGACTGTGCGGGACGTGGACATGGAAGGAATCAAACCTACATGAAGCAGGTGGTTGAGAGGAGGGCTTCATTCGTCTGTGGGTCGTTCGACCAGAAGACCAACCGGGCACGACGTTCGCAGCAAATGGTGGACTGGTCGAGCTCCAGGCTCCAGGTTTTGACCCGGCCACATTTCTCTCCACCAAAAACATACTCTATAAATCTCTATAACAGGTTCAAGCAGGGGGCACGCGCGTGGTGACTGCCACTGTCTATAGCATCTGTACTTTCGCATGGTCAACTTAGCGGTACTCTACGCGCTGATCCGAAGTCAGTCTATCTCACTTCAAACAGGAAGTGACTGTCACAAACAGGCACTTCCTGTCTTCCCGTTACTACAGGTGTTTCCAAAACTCGACCAGTAGCAATGCAAACTTATGCCAACTACGCTTAAACCATGGAAACCAACGCAGGCTTGGTTTAACATAGTTTAACCACTTGTCATTGGAGGGTGCCATGCCTTCCTGTCTCTGTCTGCGTAAAACGGCGTGCGGCTCACCCACCTGGGATCTGAGACTTCATTCAAATACCTGCGAGGCGGCGAACCCGCTCACCCGCCGAGGCGTGGCGATGCGTTCGCGATGCGTTTCGCGATCGCCACGGAAAAGGACGCTAAAGGTGATGTCCGACTTGCCCTGGTCAAACTGATGTCTCAGTGTATTCCTCACACGGCCGAAACCATCCACCCATGCGGTGTCACCTGATTCAAAACGGGGTTCCCGACTCTACACTCAGCCGTGCAAAACCAAAAGCCACCAAAACACCACAATGTGACTCTTACTGAATGAGGCTAAAACCCTGAGGATATAGAAGTCAGTCTCAATCTTCCTTTCAGAATTTCATCACGATCAATTCATGTCCGATGTCCAAAGGAATTCGAAACAAAAATAAACAGAACATAGAAGTGCACTGATATGTTTCATCATGACCCCATCATCCATGGAAAATGAAGGTTAACCTTTTCCGCATGTTGCCTTTTTTGGTGGGGAAACCCGGTGAAATCACTCCCCAAAAACCTCAAAATGATGTTGCTGCTTATTATCATATCCACTGTCGTCGCCAAGCTGCTGCTCCTGCAAGGTACGGGCGGCCGAGAACAACGCATCCGAGGACGTCAGGACGGTCTCCACCGTACCAGTGAGGCCTCGACAAGAGGTCCGCAGGTGAAAACAGTTTCGGTTTGGAAACAAACCGATGCCCAGTCGAGATTTGAGGATCGGAACCTTTATGTACCTCAATTAATTGCACGTTCAGAAATGAAAAGTGACTATTTTTTGCAGCTACCCCACAAAGTTTCAAATTACTTCACTTTGAGTGATCCCCACCATGAAATGTCAATCTGACAAATTTTCTGGCATGTGTTGAAACATTATTTCGGCATTTTTTCTGGCATATTCCGGACATTTTTCTGGCATATCTTCTGACATTGTTTCATCTTACATTATCTTACATGGCTGACATTATTTCCAGCATATCTTCTGACATGCTGTCTGGCATATCTTCTGACATTCTTTCTGGCGTATCTCCTGACATTCTCTCTGGCAAGTCTTCTGACATTTTTTCTGGCATATCTTCTGACATTCTTTCTGGCATCTCTTTTGATATTCATTCTGACATTCTATCTGGCACACCTTCTGACATTCTTTCTGGCATATCTGCTGACAGTATTTCTGGCATATCTTCTGACAATCTCTCTGGCATATCTTCTGACATTGTTTCTAGCATCTCTCCTGACATTCTTTCTGGCGCTCTATCTGGCAAATCTTCTGACTCGCGGTTGAGCTCCGGCGGAGAACACTGCCAGCTGGAGCTCGCAGTTGAAGTCCGGTGGGGAACACTGCCAGCCGGAGCTCGGGGTTGAGGTCCGGCGGGGAACACTGCCAGCCGGAGCTCACGGTTGAGGTCCGGCCGAGAACACTGCCAGCCGGAGCTCGCGGTTGAAGTCCGGCGGGGAACAATTGGTTTGTAACAACTTGAGAGAGGAGGGGGTGAACGAAAAGTAGCAGGCAATCACAAGTAACCCTGGTAGAAGTCCATGACGGCGTGAACCGGCGCAGGGGGGATTTGATCCGGGGGCCCCCCCCCCCCGACGAACAGAATCAACTCTTACAGGACCAAACTCAATGCACAGTCCCAACTCCTGATTGTAATACATTTTTGCTAAAGCAAGGAGAACTCAGGTAGCTCAAGCAACTTTCGTGATTGGTGGGTCGCAATTGGTTGGTGACAATCGGTTGATGACAATTGGTTGGTGACAATTAGTTGGTGGCAATTGGTTGGTAGCAATTGGTGGGTGGCAATTGGTTAATGACAATTGGTGGGTGGCAATTGGTGGGTGGCAATTAGGTGGTGGGTGGAGGTTGGAGCGAGGATGAGGAAGGAAGGAAGGAAGGAAGGCAGGAAGGCAGGAAGGCAGGAAGGCAGGAAGGAAGGAAGGAAGGAAGGAAGGAAGGAGCGGATACCACACTAAAAACAAACAAAAAGTAATGTGGGGAACAGCGTTGGAGACGTGCGCCCTTCCATGCACCCCTTATTAGTACTATTATTACGAAATATTACCAATCTATCTATATAACGTTATATATAGTTACAGTACGTAAGTATATATTGTTCCTTATAGTCTAGTTGTCCTTTCTATGCTTTTTTTCTGCAATACAACGGCGAACAATACAAACGCTTCCCGTGACTTTGCTGTGGGCAACCATGTGGTCACCAGCTCCCACGCCATGTCACGACTGGTGTGCTGGAACAATCTGACACCCAGGGGTGGGTACATGCAAAGCTTCTCCACTCCCTGGAACTAACATGGAAGTGCACATTGGACCCTTGGAAGACCATTTCCCTCTACGGTTAGCTGCATTGAGAGTACTTGGCGGAATTCACACAGCCCAGATATAGCTGCATGATTTTGTTTGAAAGCCAGGCCAGGCCACTAATCTTCGATTTACACCTCACAACCATGTCAGGGAGTAAAGACAGGTGCATATATACCTAGAACCTGAGTGACCCCTGTTTTGGAGGATCGGATCAACTATCCAAAAAATTGTCTTTTCCTATCAAAACAGAGGTCAGTTGGGCTCTAGGTATATATATATAGCTCTGGGCTTCAAAACTTCTATGAGTACTGGCACATTTGGATAGCAAGTGGGGTCGTGTCTGCGGTTCAACCCCCATATACAGGTTTAGGTGAATTTCCAGGCATGGAGCAAAGGGTTGGTCGTTTCCCTCCCCCAACCCCAGCAATGCCAGAGCAAGGCACATGCAGTTCGAAGGGTCGTGGCTGCGGGCTCAAGCGTGGTGAGCATGTAGTCAAAGTAGGTCCTTCAGTGGGCGTCCCTTTTACAATGCCTAATGTAGACTCTTGACTCACAACCAACCATATGAAAAAACTTTGCACTCCAAACGGAGTTGGCATGTCCAACAAAACGCAGTCTTCGGACGGTGAAAGTTCCGGTGGCCTTTCCGGACTGCTCACCCCTCGGAAGCCGAGCTCCCCAACCGTGCTTTGATTCGCTCCAAAAACCGAACCTTCGGACTTCACATGCCAGGCATCTGCTTGGGGGGCGCTGCCAGGACGGGCTGTGAGGAGCCGAACATGATGCGTCGCACCGAGGTCTCCAAATCCACCAACAAGGACTCGGCGTCCACAGGGCGAAGAGTCGACCGGCCGAAGAGAGAGAAGACGGTGAAAAACGAATTAGAAGACGGGCACTCCCACAGGGTGGAAACATGTGGAACGTCTGAGACGATGCCTGAAAAGAACTCGATTGGCAGTATAGGTATACTGTGTGGCATCTTGTCTGTTTTCTGCTTCAAACAGCAGCAAACAACCAAGAAAAAATGTTCCAGGGGCAGTTCTTGTCTCCACCGAACCAATAGAAAGACATGATGGGATCCAAAACAGAAAAGAAATTGGATATACTATACGTACATCATCTGTCTCAGAATGTGGTGGAATGCTGAGAACTGGCCGGTGCCAGCGAACTGAGGTGATAGAGCTTCTCAGAAAATCCGCATGCCACATGCCATACACCGTCACAAGCTATGTTATTTCCTCAAACCAGTCCCCACAAAGCCGCATTGAACCAAATGAGATGAAAAAAACGCCTCGTTGTTTGCTCACCTATGTCTTCAAGACCGTGAAAAGATAGACATGGTGCGCAGGGTGGGTAGCAATACTGCGAAAGGTTGGGCAACTCAAGGATAAAGTAAAAACATGGGCCGTGGCTTAAGGGGACCCCCTCTCAAGGCCCCCATGGAATATTTTGTAAATTATTCTGACCCCTAGTCACATCGATGCTAGAAATTATTCTGGCATGTCATTCACGTTCAGGAATAATTTCCAAAAATTTCTTAAACATCTGGGTGCAAAACCACGTGTTTGAATTAATTTTGCGTTGAGTGTCCAAGTATAGGTTCCCCTCCTAGTGAGAGCTTAGGGGGATCGGTGAGAATGTAACAGAGCCAGGACGGTGGACAATTGCAATGGCAATGGCAAGTAGTGCAGGAGCCAGCCAGTGGCACATAATTATTCCAGGGGGGCCTCCACATCTGAAGGACCCATGGGCAAATTAAGCCCCTAAGCACCCTGGGCTGCATACAGGCTGCTTCAAGCAGCTGCAAAGCAAAGGACTGTCCAAGTATAGGTTCCCCTCCTAGTGAGAGCTTAGAGGGATCTGTGAGCATGTAACAGAGCCAGGTCTGTGGACAATTCCAGTGGCAATGGCCAGTGGTGCAGGACCCAGCCAGTGGCACATAATTATTCCAGGGGGGCCTCCACATCTGAAGGACCCATGGGCAAATTAAGCCCCTAAGCACCCTGGGCTGCATACAGGCTGCCCTAAGCAGCTACAAAGCAAAGGACTGCGAGAAGGTTGCAGAGCCAGGACTGTGGACAATTCCAGATTGTACATGTATGTACGTACCTCTGGGTTCTTCTGGTATCTCTCTCATGTATGTACATGTGTGTACATCTTGGAATATTATTCAAAAATTATTCCAAATTTATAGGTAGTACCTTGAACCACTACCTAGCTAAAATATTATTACATAAATAGTACAGTATTAAAAACAAAATATTCCAGCAGGTCAGATGACCCCTGGAATATTTTTTAAGCCATCCCCTACTATGTAAAAACCTAATGAGCTTCCTGCGCCAACAAAACACGGAATCAGCAGCGCAGCAGCTCACGTGGTGGGTTTTATATAACTCCACATCGGGTCTTCAACTCCAAGGTGGGAGCCAACAATCATCACAATGAATGTAAGGTGGGTGCCCAATGGAGGCCTGTAAGTAAGGTAGGGTAGTCTATTGGCCACCCATTGGATGACCCTGGTCTGCAAGATCTAAATTTACTGCAAAAATCCAGGAACTTCCGTGACTTGACTCATTCTACTCCACCTGCATGTCCAAATCCACCACTACTCCGATAGGGGTAAAATGAGTCATTTGGACTCTCAGGGTATACCATGGTGCTTGCCTGTCCTGCCCCAAAGTAACCAGTGACCCAGTCGCAAACGCGACAAGAACAAAAACACCTGAGCACCAAAACGTGCGAAATCATTCACGTGGGTGGGGATATACAACCCGATCTCATTGAGGGTACAGCGAATAAAAATGTCTGATCCAGTTGAGGTCCTCATTCCTCTCAATTGGGTTTTACTCAGTGTTGTTATTGTTGCTGTTGCTGTTGTCGTTGTCATTGTCGTGTTGTTTATTTTTATTTTTACTTTTTGTGTGTGTGTGTGTTTGTGTCGGTGTTGACATGTTAACAAACATGCTAATTCTTTGAAGCTCCACCAAGCAGCATCCAGCTTCTTCTCATTGAAGCTCTGGCCCTGTCGCACCAGAATGAACTCCGCTGCAAGGTGTTGACCTCGATGAGTTGAAAAACCCAAACGAACCGGGTCGCAACGAGTCCGCCCGGAGGACTCTGAACGAAATGGAGGGACTCTATTTCCGGTCAGACTCGGGTGAGACGAAGGGAAGGGCTCCAATCATATATATATATATATAGATATCTTGGGCATGAGATGTTTAAATGTTGGTTAGACCTCCCGGAACCCACCCCAACCATTGTCACGGAGGTAATTAGATAGAGCCCCAACTACACACCATTGAAACGTCCAAAACGGCAACATCCAGGGTGTCATGATGTTTCTAATCAGAAACTGACTGTGCCCATGGCTGGATGGGCAGAAAACCCGTTGTCACCCTGTCACCCGTCAAACGGGTTGGACTGGATGTGCCACCCAAATAGCACGGACCGACGACCGGACCACTGCGATCAACTCGACGTTCTTCAGAGGCCTCAACAAAGGCTGCTGCGGTTTTAACCGCAGGTCTGCCGACCGGACCATTCCCAAACACTTCATGGGACTGCCACCTTTGATCAGTTGGGGGTGGTTACCGGAGGTGGAGTCTTGGCATCTCTTCCAGTCCAGGTTGGACTCTTCTCTCCCAGTGGCTGAGAACGGCCAATTCGGCCACCTCGGCGTGCATGGCCTTCCAGTCATCGTCGGGGAGCGAAGAGTTGGTGCACACAGGGTTCAAGTTCAAGGAGATCCTCAGCCGAGTGAACTGTGTGTCCTGCGTGGATGTCACATGCTGTCATGAACTGCGTGGAGTAAAAATCATCAACGAAGTATCCCCACTTATGATCAATGAAGTCCGGCGAATGAGATCTAAATTAGGTACACGATCCTTCAACTGATGAACCAACCCGTCAAATAAAGGCCCAGTACCAAAAAGAAACTGGTGAACACCAAAAAGAATCACCCAAGCTGGTGGTTTGCTGCCAAAAAACAATAGGGCCACCACAGCCCATGACCCTGCCATTTGTCGTAGCTTCCTCTATATAACGCTGACTGAGCAGAGTGAATCTCACTCCAAGCTGCTCCAACATCATGTTGTCACAAACATGGCATGGGTCTCCATGGGGTCAATGCTCTCGGGAAAAAATGAAAACCTGCTTGGACCTCCCTCGGCTGCTGAAGAATCCGCCCCCTTCCCATTCATGTCGGCTGGGCTTCTCTTCAAAGGCATCCACCGTGGGGGGAGCCATGGTCACCAGCTGCACCAAACGCTCAGTATCACCAAACGCCACGCGCAAGGCTTCTCGGTCCAACTGTTCGTACTGATCCATTGCTGCCTTCAGCCTCGGCCCGGAACGGAGGAAAACAAAGACGCGCGGCCGACCCTTCGTGGGATGTAACATGCAAAAGGAACAGGCCCTTGGGCCTCTTTAACACGATCCCATTTAACAAATGCCCCTCTATATTCGGATGTTGAGGTGCCCAAGGCGCCCCAGCCCCTCAGCCCCTGTCTCCAGCCGAGCTTCTGTTGAACCAAGCACACATTGGTGGCCTTGGAATGCATGTCTTTGTGCCACGCCAAGTTCACTTCAATGAGCAATGCATGTCTTCATCAACCCTGGAATCTTGGCAGGACAGCACCAGTCACAGGACAAAAACATCCAGAATGGTCTCCTAAAAGGGAGAACATGCTAGAACTTCCCAGGTCTTAACAATGGGTCAAAACAGTGGATCAAGTGACAATGCCTCTTTCAAATCCGAACATAAAGGTAGACCTCGAAAAACAGGACACAAAGAACCCCAAGATCGACATCCCAACTGGACCCGAGCTGTGCCCAGGTAGTTGTCTCGTCCGGAGCTGTGCCCTGAAGTGGGGGTTCCCAAGAGGGCTTTCGGATACCAATCAAGTGTGCAGTATGGCTTTCCCTGGAATAGTGCTGGCGCACTCCATTTTGACACTCCATTGTTTTTCAGGCCGCTTGGGTGCCTGGTCTATCTCCCCATATCAAGCGGAGCCACGTCAAATTGAGCCTGGTTTGCAACGATTTGTCCCATTTCATTGGACCTGATTCTACAGGTAGCAAGCGGAGCCATTGGCCTTGACGCACCTTCATCAAAACAGTTGTATTATGTTGTATTGTTGTACTATACTATATGTCCATGATTGTCCATATCTCTCTCTCTGTATATATATATATATACATATACAGATAAAAGAATAGAGAGTGTTTATTTATAAAGAGAGACAGAGAGAGAGAGAGAGAGAGAAAATTAGCAAGAGAGAGAGAGTGAGTGAGTTACTTGTAATTGGTAAGGGTCAGAATTCCATGATCTTATGTCACTCGGGCAACGATGACATCGCAATGATAAGCTTTGAAAAGGATCATCGACGACATCGCATCCCGCTCCTCTCCCCAAATTGCCCAGGCCTTGGGTACCGAGGTGTCATTTCCCTGGGTGCCCTGCAAGATGATGAAGTAGTTCCTCGTTCAATCTCGCATACTCGAACTGATGTCACCAGGACAAGGACTTTCTCGGGGGCAAAAAAAGGCAGACCTAGCAGGTTAGCAGGGTCCCCCATATTCACTATCAACAACATATGCTGTTTCCCATCTGACGTTCGCCATGAAGGCTGGTGAGCGTACGTGGGACTCCGGCTTGTGGGCTTTGCTGCAGCTCAGTTGTGGACCTGGGATCTGTGGAGTACTTTCAGGCACCACAGAATCCTAGCTAGGATATCCAAGGTTCAAAATCTAGACATGTTGAAGCATTCTACATTTTTGCAGTCTGTTTGCATGTTTTCTTGGCCCACAAATGCTTGGCTCCCCAAGAAAAAGGTCAATCTTTGTGAGGACGCTGCCTTGGGAATCCTCGACTGTTGGTTTCACCTCCCTTTGACGCGGCATGCGCGAATGACGGGCTGCTCCTCGTCCATGGTGAATGAAGTGAAGAAAGGTACATGAAGTGAGACTCTGGACTGACTCGGCTGTCATTTTTCACTTATCCTGTTCCAGAGTTGATGGCTCAGGCTCAGCCAATGTCCAGAGTCACAGCAACCACAAGAGCCTTTGACTTGGGCCTCGGGTTCCTAAATTTCAGTGAATTTTGCCAGGAACCCACTGAAGCCCACACAGTGGGTAGTTGCTAGTGTAGTTGCTTTGACATGAAGGAAGGAAGAATTAGCCCTTATGTACCTGAATATAAGGGCTACACAAATAACAAGATCTCTAAATAGGCTCACAAAGCATTAAAGCTGATGGATGCTCTCAAGATCTCTCAAGCCTATGGTTGTTCTCCAATCAAGCCCTAGGTGTTTTTGGATGTACTATGTTTTAAAAACGATTGAATCAGCTCCGGGCAAACTTAAAAGTCCGGGAACACCTTGATCGGTTCGATCAAACATCCAACCCTTCACAATTTCACTAGTTCAAAGACATCTGTGGGGTCGGAGGAAATCCCATCAGCTTTGCAGGTGTTGCAATCGTTAAAAGGAGAGAGGGGAAAAAGAAACATGCCCCACAAGATCCAAATGATAATAGACATCACAATACATCACATATATCATCACAGAGTATAATATGACATTCGCCCAGCCAACATTGAAGTTCAACTTCTTTGTGTTGTCTTCCATGGAGAGTAATTAAGAGTATTGAAAGTCTCTCTCTCCAGTCCAAGGATGATCAAATGCTGGAAGATGCTGCGAGGGCCACCAAACCAGGCCCATGGACCAAGCATGGTGGAGCCCCACACCACCAGGTGGAGCCCCGCACCACCAGGTGAAGGCAGGGTTTCTTTGGACTGTAGAATGACATGTATGATGCTTCCCAAACAGAACTACTCGAACTCTGAAACCCGAACAACAGCCGGTGTCTTCGTTGGGGTCAATGGAGTGTCTCGGCATGTCCAGTCGCAATGGAGTGTCTCGGCTTGGATACACTGCATTCTTACGAAAGAACTGGGGGATCCACAGTCCCAACCAAAACCGCAAACGGACGGACTGTGGATACCGAACCTCACAGGCCCCCGTGTTGGGCCACGAACGCAGCGGTCTGTGGACTCCTTCGGTTGATGAGTTCCCATGAGAAGTGGACCAGTTGTCACGAATGGTTTCGTTTCATTCATTGTAAGTACCCACGGAACGGGAACCTCCTTGTTCCAAGGTTTTCTACAGGCTTTGGTCTAGCAGCTTAACAAGTGTATCAACATGTCTCAACCAATCGGTGTCTGCTCTGTGTGGACAACCAGTGGGATCAGGATAATACCTTCCTGTATACATTCAATATAAGGGCTTTACCTCATTTGGACTGAAGTGCCGCGATGTGTAATACATACTATCATATACTATCGCGATATCCAAAGACCTAATTATTGAAGATAGGTCTTTCAATGCTGGGATCATGTATAGCCTATAGCTCATTGGTTCACCATCAGTGCCGGTCCACGGTCTGCCCACAGTCCACGGTTCCACTGAATTGAAGGCGGGCCGAGGTCTTCCCAAATGGGTCGAGCCAAACTTCAATGGTCCTTGACGAGGCCTGATAGGCCGAGGACAAACATAGCTAGTACACATAAAACAAAGCTAAACACGTATCCTTCAACTGCAGTGGACCGTCAAAATGTCTAGTGTCATCCTCGCTCCCCAAAACATGGCCTTCAGGCAAAAAAATCCCCTGTTCTAGTGAAAAGGGAACGAATGGACACATTGTTGAAACAAAGAAACAAACGATGAAATCACCAGGAGTCATAAACGGGTGGTTTTTAGTCCCATCCAGTGAGCGGATAATGGGCACTCCTATCCTCCAATAGGCACCCCGTCTTGTGACTCCTGGCAATCAAACTTTCTGAAACGTTCGATTCGTCCATCCCCTCCAGACCCTCCAAGCCTACATAACTCTCTCACCTGAGGAGAAGGTACGACTGGATCCGGCCTGGCCAGTCCTGAGTAATGAGTAAGTAATGAGTCCCAAAACTCTCCACGGGACTGCGGTAGCACCCGAAAACCACCGCAGCTTTATCACCCCCTACTACATGTAGGCCATAGGACTGCAGTTCTGCGGAGTTGGAACCCAACCTCCGCAGAACTGGCGGCCCATCCCCCCAAAAAGCGAACACGTCTCGGCCCGGTCCGACGTGGACCAGGGCGGCCGATGGGGCCTTCCCTCCCGACGGTGGGTAAAACTCCAGGTTTCTGAGTCAGCTGAGCTCGACTGGCGTTCATCAAGTCCCAATTTGCAGCCATCTGTCCTGAGCGAAGGGAGCGAAGGGTGCTCAAACGAAGGATGCCGTTCCAGCAACCCGTCGTGCCACCGTTGCGTGAGGAATAAAGGGGGGAAGCCAGAAAGGCAGCCGGTGCGCTGCTTAAGACGCGGAGAGACCATCTTTGTTGGAGATGTTCCAAAACCGAGCTATGGTCCAAACCATTGAGAATTCTGTGTGACTCCTCGTCTTCAGGATGTTTAGGGGAACAATGGGCACAAGGATGCTTTGGGAACTTGAGGGCACAAATATTTCTGGTGAGGGAAAATCAGGTTCAACAGACGAGAACCCTACCCTAGGCCCTAGGCAGTCGTCCGCGATAAGGAGGACTCTTGGACTCCTCCACTAGGAAGGCTGACACCGAGGTTGATTGGATTCCGTTTGATTGCTTCCATCATTGTGTGGCACCTCTTTTTAGATAAAAGGGCTTCGGTACGAATTCTTCCGATTCTGCCCAACGTCCCCGACTTCTGCAAACCGCCATCCATCTCGGTTTCTGGTTCCATTCCACTCCCGACACCCGTGACCCGGCCACCCTCCAAGGAGCCGTTGGCGTTTCCGCGGCTGATGGAGCAGGCCAACTCGGTAATCTTGGAGACCAGGACCTCAGAAAGTCATGGCGGCAGGCAGGATGGAGGGAACCCAATACACCCGTCTCGGTACGACTCGTGCATGGAAGTGCATGAGAAGATACACGACACAAGTGGATGCTTCGCATCCACCGGCACTTCAGCCCCCCACTGAATGTTGCTTCATGTTGCTTCCAAACTCCCCACCATCCGAAGCCCCACCACGAGTCAAGCGGCCCAAAAACAGTTCCAGCAAAGATTTCACGGGGACCTTGCAATTTTTTTCAACTCCAGCCGTTTGTCCTATCGATTGGATTCTCAAACATGAGGTGCCCGAGAAACGCGAGAAATAAATACGCATAAAAAAAGCAAAAACATCTTCACTTTGAGGGTTCGTGATTCTCTGTGAATGTTTGACCGGCAGGACAAATGATCCAACAGTCCTCCACCCATCTCCACCCCACCAGTCAATGCCAGCCCGGTCATACGGCCGTGCCAGGGCACGGCCTGGGTGGCGACCGTGTTCAACAGAACCCCTGTGGCGGAGGGACTGTGGCGACTGCGGCCAAGGACAGACCTTCTCAAAACAACTCAAAAGAAAATGTCCAAGAGCTAAACTTAAAAAGATGTAAATCAGCGTAAGGCCCCACCATTGACTTCTACTCGTCGAGTCGGGGGCGGTAGGCTCCTTTCTTTCCAACCTCTCCATCTCCTGTGCAGTGTCTCCTTTTAATGAGTTGTGCACTTCTCTCACCGTCGGGACCACCAGTGATGGATGTTAAGACAAACCTGAGGTGGGTCCTGGTCTCTCGCTCCCGGCACTCGGTGCTCGTAGAATGTGTGGATGTGGAGGCTGCATGAGGCTTATAATGTAAACTCTTGATCATGCAATAATAAAGTTACTGTACATTATATACTTGAAAACACATAATACAAAGAGAGTTAGATAAATCATTTGGATTTTAAAACGGGTGGACTGTTAATTTTGTGTTGTCATTTTTGTTCAAAAACATTGAGATAGAGCGGGTTTCTTATTGGTACCTAGCTAATTACAGCAATTTCGTGTCCTTAGCAAAGACACAGGTGTCGTAGCAGAGACACAGGTGTCGTAGCTGGCCAAATACATTAGAAATAGTGCAGGTTCACATATTGATTGCTAGCTGATTAGACTAATTTGGGAGCTGTCGTAGCTGGCAAAATACATTGGAATAGTGTAGGTGTCAGACTCAGAGAAATTCCTACCTATCACAACAGTTTGGTGCAGTTAGCAGAGAAACAACAAAGAGAAAGAGAACTAGCACAAGAGGCATATACTTATATATGGTTGGTTAGAAGTTTTTGCACCGGGGAGTTCACAAAAAAGAAAAAGATTTCGTGGCAGGCGCGGGTGTCAGAGATAAAGTGCAGATTTCGTGGCGCAGGACAGCAGCACACCAGATCATCCAAAGGTGAGCAGCTCGTGCTTGCTTGCTTGCTTGCTTCCTTGTTTGGTTTCTTCTTTGCAAAGGAAACAAACGGAAAAGCAAAAACAAAAAGAGAAAGGAGAACAGCTGCCAAAGCAGAAAAGCAACAAAAACAAAGAGCAGAAAGACAAAAACACAAAAAGCTGAAAAGCAACAAAAGCAAAAAAACAGCAGAAGCAAAAAAACAACAAACCCTAAGCTTCTTTGGGATGTCGATGAGAGGGGTCGGGATGTCGATGAGAGGGGTCGGGGCCCTCGGCTTCCTGAGGGAGGGCCCGCGGACATCATGGATTTTACATCGAGGGGTCGCGAGGGCCCGCGAGGGCCCATGAGGGCCCAAGCTTCAAGGCCTGTGTTTCACTGATGGTTACATCACACATGTTCAGACCCACATGGATCCAGCAATTGAACACACCATGCAAAACCAGTGGCTTTCTGGCCTTTTTGTTCCCATCTTGCATGAGACCATAGATAGATATGATAGGACATGATAGGACCAAATCACCATGCAATATCCCATTGAGGGTTTACACATGTTTAGACCTTCCCATTGTTTTCCTTTATCCAGCCCGGCTGGTCAGCATCATCTTTTCTCATGAGCGTGATGGCACTGGTACTGCACTGGTCTTTCCAATGCCTCGCGGACATTGCAAGCGAGGACAGTGGGTCAATATGGGTCGATGCAGGGTTCAGGGACGGCCTCGTGTATCATGAGTCTTTGTTTGCAAGGATTCTACATATCATATCATGCATGCATGCAATATAGATTCGTCTATTCACATACTACTGGAAAGGGCTCAAGCATAGGGTGGCAATGGCGGGATCTCTGGCTCCATCACTGCATGGCGTTGAAAGGGAGATTGAACGATACTCATGTTTGATCCAACCGTTTTTGTTTTCTTTAATGGATGTGTGTTTGTGGCATGTATACGTCCTTTTTCACCCATGGGATGGTAAGGAGCACTGAAGATTCATATGCCTGTCGAATGTTTCGTGAACTGTGCGCAAGCAAAACGTCCGGACAACACCTTGTTCCCGGACGTGAGCTCTTTTGACATCAACATCGACGATTTGGAAACATATTTGCCGTTGGTGCTAGAGATATTTTCTATCAGTCCGGAGGGTTGCCTGTATGCAATATGTTATATATGCGCATTGCATTAAAGTAAGGCTTTTCCTCTGCATTAGGTGGATCTAGGTCAGGTTCCTTGCTTTGTGAACTGAGGGAATTTTGCTGGCGGACATATCGAGAAGGTATTCCAGCATCTAGATTGGGAGTCGGAATTCAAGCTAAGCAAGGGCAAATTCAAGAAAGAACGGCGTCAATGGGCGCTCAATGATTTTTAGGGCATGTTTAACAAATTTTGATTTTAGAGTTGCATGCAACCAATTTATAGACCATCCATGCATCATGAGTGCATGATGTGCTGTTTTCCACGCCAAGGAAAGTTACATTCTACAGGGGTTGTTGTCGTATGCACGTCGTTACTGGCGAAAATCACTATCCAGATCATCGAAAACGGATGTAGCCCTGCAGCTCAAAGCAGTTCTCAAACCCAATCCTCAACGGCACCGTGAATCCTGCCGTAAGAAGAAAGCGGTGAAAGGCGGGATGGATACGTGTGTTTTTTTCATGCATGCTGGGAGTTAGGGTCTGACTTTTTGGGGTACGCGCAGGCGCGGTGATCATGGTTATGGATTCAGAGACCGAACACGAGACACGCCCGCAGGAGTGGCATCATTGGACATGTGCCTTCTGTTGTGTCATGATGCACAGTTGATTCAGTATAATTACGTATATATGCGATTTTGTTTTTGACTTTTACCCCGCACTTTCGGTCACCAGGAGCCCCTTCTGAACAAGGAGACCGTCCCTGAACAGAAGGATGTCCCTGAAGAGGAGGGTAAACCGAGCAATGCCATTGTCGATGGGAAGGAGTTCACCCTGGAAGATTCAATTGAGTTTGTCAGTCGCTTTGAAACCACAGAGCAAATGGCAAAGGCAGTGGGTGCAGATGTCGCTGAGGATGTATGGCATGATCTGAAGCTCGTGCACCATCTTTGCACCATCTATGATACCACAGACCCTCTCATCATCAATGATCAGGTGAACATCTACTATAGCTTGGAGCCTTCTTTTCATGCAGAGGATCTGGACGTCATGGTCAGTTGTTGTGGTCTTGATGAGCTCCTCGCCAGGGCTCTTCTGGCACAAGCCAATGGAGACTTGACCACGGCCCTCAATCTTGCAACCAAAAAGAATTTGGTTGCACGTGCGGAAGCTGGGGAATTTGGGGAGCCTACAGTCGCTGTGGCTGAGGTGAAGTCCATGCACGCCCAGGATTTGTTGCGTGCCAAAACCCTCATCCTGGGACAAGATGACAATGACACTCAGGATGAAATTCTCATACTCAGCGATGATGAGGTTCCTATGACTGCTGAGACAAACGAGACCAGATCCACCGCTCAAGCTGCTTTGCGTCATGAAGATGGTGGTGTTGAGACGAATGGGACCCTATCTATGGTTGAGACTTCAATCAATGGGGTGCATGGAACTGGTGGAGATGATCCTACGAGTTCTGTTGAGGAACCCGCTGAGGCGAGATCTTGTTATCCAAGCGTGCACAAGCTTCTAATGTGTCATGTTATCTATGTACGTATACAATATATCAACATAGGGGAGGTGTTGCTCAACTCTTGCATGCAGGTGCTACATCAAGGTGGACGACATCTTCGAGAATTCTCTGAAGACCCTTGGACATAATTACGTTTTATGCATGCTGCATGTGCATGAAAATTTGTGTACGTGCAACTATGCTCGATCAAGTAATATAAATGTTTAAAGCAGTTCTGAGTTCTGAGGAGTACTATGCACAACTTGCTTTGGAGGAATCTCTCAACCCCAAGGCAGATCCCTTGGCGAAGAACCCGCGGTGCATGAAAGTGATTACCGTGGGTCGCCTGCCTGAAGAGGAGAAGATGTCAATGTCCATACATCCCGAGAAATCTCAGGCTTTCGTCGCACAGACTTGGCAAGATTCTCAATGGCAAGATTCTCAATGGGATCCTCAATGGCAGGATTCTCAAGACCCTGACGGCACTACTGGGGATCAATCTCAGAAGCCTCATGCAGGTTCTGTGCCAACTCCTGTGGCTGGCGAGACTGAGTTTGAGAACCTTGGACAGGGCTTGTTGAACTCTGTCAGCGCTGCGGTTTCCCAGGCTACGCCACCAAACTATTCAGAGCAAGGGCAACCACGTGGGAGAAAGCCCAAGAGATCCAAGTTGGACAAGGCCAAACAGCTGGGGAAAGGCAAGAAGAGATCCAAGAAGACCAACAAGGTGAAGAAGAATGCCAAAAAGAATGCCAAGAAGCGCATGCCCAGTGATGCGCACCCAAGTCAGGTGGATGCAGTGGAGGCTGTTGGGCATGTCAAGTCCAAAAAGCGGCAACGAGCAGCATCCTGTGAAGCCTCAGCAGCTTCAGCACCAAAGGCAAAGGCCAAGCGCTCAGCTCCTGCCGAGGCGCCGGACAATGATGTAAGGCTGGTGCTACCTCAAAGAAGTCAGGAAGGAAAACAAAGGCCAAGAGGAAGGCATCTCCTGCTGAACCCTCGGTTGAGGTTGCTTTGGCCAAGGAGGTGGAAGAGATTGAGATCCCGCCGGATTGCATTGATGCACCAACTCATGTAGCAGTCAACTCCGTCTATTCTTCAGCATATCGCAGAGCAAAGGCAGCTACTGGTTCCGACGAGAACGCCCGCAGTGTAGCTAGGTTGAATTGTGATCTAAAATTGGATGCATGTGAGATGTAGTTCATTGGACCTTTGTGTGCGGGGTTAGTGTGCATGTCATGAATCATGAAAGGTGTGGCTTGTTTCGTTCCAGTAGTGAATGATTCTGTGTGTTTGTCGTGCAATACTTAGGCCGGAAAATTGGCTACAAAGCTTCTGAGATTTCATGGAAAGGTTTCACCTTCATTGAGCGGTTTTCCCAGGCCTCCAAGGGCTTCGGCCATTGCACAGGGTGGAGCTTAGGATTCTACCCATCCAAGATATGGTTGGGAATTTGGGAATGTTTTTGTGCTTGCTTGTGCGACATTTATATTTCATATTTTGTTTCAATTCATGGATATGCAGCAGTGCTTGTTTAGCGCAAGCTTAGCATTCCATAGTATCTTCGGGGGCTCATGCACGCACAAATTGTGCAATTAAGCATGAAAGTCAGGTGTGCAGGTGTTTAGCCAGGCTATTCCTATGCACGCTTTTCACTGGTTCATCATGGAGTGTTGGAACAGAAGTTTCCGTGCAGCAAACAAAGGTTGCGATTGGTGGCTTGCAAT